TCTGCCTCAGGATCCATCTCCGATCTTTATGTGGAACTACTGAACCATGAACTGTAACCAACAAAAAAAAAATGGAAAAAGAGAAAAAAAGCCACACAAAAAAACCTCTTTCTCTTTTCTAACTCTGGATTCTTTCTGTGATTCTGCAGCTCACACACATCTGCTTATGTTTAGCATCCGTTCTTTTTAAAATCTCACCACTTCTCGCAGTAGACCCGCGCCGTCGCCCGGCCGCTCTCCTCCTATCTTTCACTATCTCTGTCTCTCTCCTTCCTTTTTCTTCTGTCCTGTCGTCCTCGCGGACAAAAAACAAAACGAAACTTATGCAAGCAAGGCGGCCTCAATTTGAGTTTAAGTGACAGACCCGTGAAGTGGGTGGGTTCCCATTTCATGTGCTTCGGCGCCTCTCTCGCCATCTCAGAGGCTTTTTCCATCGATGCCGAACCTATAAAATTCTAAACCTGACTTCTGTAGAGAGCAGACACCAGTTGCTATTGCTGAGCGTAACATTTCGATGGGATAAGCGTTAATCAGATATCCCTCTTTTCCCTCTGTTTTGACCTTTAACTGCACCCATCTTCACCAGGTTTGCACAAATCTTCACCCTCATGGTATCTGGAAGTCTTCTGTTAGTTGACGCATGTGAAGAACAACCTCTCACCTTATTTTCACAACACAAACTAAGAAATAAACCGCTTTAATCTCACTTTAGCAGATTGTAAATGTTGAGGAAACCAGTTTCTTCCCTTCGACTAGCAGGAGTGTGGTGTCTCCATCATTTTCCACACTTTTGTTCTCTGTTAACATTATCCCTATTTGTATATCTCCCATATACATCAGTGTATATGACTCTATGTATTGTATATTTAATACTTGTTTATTTCTAATACTTGCACACAACACTACTGTGCCCTGTGTGTGTGTTTGTGTATTTGTGTTTTTAAGCTCATTATTTTTAGTCTCATGTAGAGTAGGTTGTACATTTTTCCTCACTGTCCATCATTCGGTCTTATGTTTATTTTATTTCAACTCCACAGTCCTCTCTATCACTGTCATCTTTTTGGCCCATACCCCAAACTTGTGTCTTTCAAAACATTAATCTAATCAAGACGATGCTGACAAGCTTTGATGATGTAAAGCTGGTGGATGCACTGTAGTAGTGAAACAGATGGTGGAGGGATGAGTGGGATGGATGTTTCAGTACAGATCTGAAGAAATGTGTAGTGGAGCGTTGTCCTCTCTACAGGACGAGGGATAAAAATAAAGCATAAAAAGAGGAAAATAAAAAACAGTGTGTTATTTTTTCTATTCAGATTCTTTTGTGGAGGATTTAGCTTGGAATTAGCCCTATTACGCACGTGTTTACAGCAGGTACACGCAGGGGGAAAAGTTACACTAAAGCACATTTAAGTATTACTGTATTACCTGTATTCACATGTATCAATTTATATTTATGGTAGTGCAGATACAAGTAATAATTCTGCACATGCAGGACTGAGATGTGGACTTGAAAATATTTGAATCGACTGCTATAAATTTACTGGTAACAGGAATAAATGCACATTAAATCACAAAAAGCCATCCTGAGAATCCGAAATCCACATGAATATGAAGTCCAGAGGAGCAGAAAGACAAAAACAGACCCTTTTTATATAAAGCCCGGCATACAGATAAAATGCTGTGAAGCGACACTATTTACAGAGTGGATACGGGTGAAAACACGAGGATTGTGCTGGCAGTTGCCAGTTACAAACAAAGAAGTGGAGAGAGGGGAAGAGAAAACTAACAGATCTGAGGTTACTGACAGGAAACTCTGGGAAAACATTAACATGATGCTAACATAACAGGAAGAATGTCAATAAAAACAGTGACAAGAAGCCAGAACCCCAACATCCACTTTATATTTCACTTTACTGGTCAGCCTATTATTGTTATTATGTAGTGAATATACTTTAGGTTTTAGAGGTTATTAGTGTATTTATTGGAAGAAAATGACGGCTAATGTAATTTCAATTTATATTTTTGCAATGTAGGCTATTTTTGGTTGACTTGGATATAGTAAAACATTAAAAGTACTTGGGGGTATTCAAGTACACTTTAGGTGTCTTGTAGTATACTCAGTTATCCTTCTTGTGCTTTAATACAGCACTGGATAACTAATTCTTTGGTGACATTGTGAGTAAAAAGAATAATTCGTTTGTACAGTGGTCCCTCGTTTATCATGGGAGTTGCGTTCAAAAATAACCCGCGATAGGTGAAATCCATAAAGTAGTCAGCTTTATTTTTGAGACCATTCAGCATTAATGAATCAAAGGTACAGTAGTGGAGGAAGCAAGAAGAATGAGTTGGGTAAAGTTTGACTTATGTGACTGTTTTGTTTCGCTTAATGTGCCTTATAATCCGGAAAATACGGTAACTTCTACCTTCCTTTAGCATGTCCAGAAGTCCAACTTTTTATGCGATGTTTGGCATCGTCATCTGCCTTTGACGGTGCAAAACGTTTTGTCGACATTGTTGTGTTTGTTGGGGAGAAAACTTACAAACATGCAGCACAGAGCCACACTGCTAGCAATCGAAGATTTATGTAAATTTGACAAGCTGAACGCATTCTGTACTGGACTGGAGACATAGCACGAGATTGATTGACAATGGTCCACAGCCAATCAGGGCCCAGAAAACAATACGCTGTTTTTTTTTTAAAAAGAGCATGCAAAATTGCACCAAAAAAAATCCGCAAAACAGCGATTCCTCAAAAGGTGAACCGCATTATAGAGAGGGACCACTGCAATGCGCTTCTATCTCTTCCACGTATTGGTTGGGTGGTGCTGCTTCGATTTAGGATGCTCAACATTGCATACACACTGATGTCCTGACAACCATTCACACTAAACTTTCTTTACTTTATTTAATTTGACAATTTAACAGCAACCTGAGACTGTGTGGCCTAAACTCAATGTAGAACCCAATTAAGAGGCTAACGTAGTGGGCTCTCTTCTTGAGGCGTTACTATGTGGGTATTTCAGAAGGAAAGATAATGTAATGCTTTGTAATGGCAGATGCTTTGTCCTGGACACAGCTCATTTGGTGACAGTGGGGAGGAAGAACTTAGTTTGAACAGGAAGAGCCCTCTGATACAGCCTGGCTTAGGGAAAGGGAGTTATATCTGCTCCTGAAGGTTATTCTTGTTTCATGTTTGGAGTAGAATAAAGGCCCATGCTCCAACTGATGTTTAACCAGTATTTTACTTCTCTTCACCAGCAAACACTGTGAAAAACCATGCATGCGCACCACAAAGCGCCATACTCAGATCCACCAGTAGGTGGCGACAACACAACATAGGAACCAGCTTAAACATCCAAATTTGAAAATTACAATCACCTTATAAACACATTTCAATGCGACAGCTACAGGAGTCATCTGCTGTAAATGGCATGGGTGTGATAAGTAGGAGAAAATAAGTTTATACGACAAGTAATCTGATTAAATTAAATTCATTTTTCTAATCACTGCCAGACTGACACTTGGATAGTGATAACATTTCTTTCTCCATGTTGATTTAACTGTTCTTACATTGTTTGACATAATATATTCGCCTTAGCTTATGCAAATAATACACATAAAACATGAGTCTGTTCAAAGAATGGTGTTTTATTTTATTCACAGTTTTAGTGTGATTTATGTTTCTTTTTATTTTAACATGAATGAGGACAGTATTGCAATATTTGCTTAAGAACCTGGGATTACATGAAAACAGTACAAAGACAAGTTATCAAATGTTAAGAAATTTTATTTGTGGACCTCAAGTCTACATCAGCTTCAGTCCATCAAGTCAAAGGAAATTAGAAACACAGTTGTCTTATACAAAATATTTATCAGGCAACTTTACCTTTAGAGCCATCATGAGTGGTTACATTGCATAGTAAAAAATAAATCTGGGAGCAATAATAAGAATCATAATACTGGTAAATAACAAAATGTGTATAAGGCTAAAGGAAGAAGTATTATACATTTTGATCAACACTGAAAGTACACTTTTTTTCAATATAACACTTTATTTTTAGCAATCGAGCTACACTTTCCTGCTGTTATTTGTTCTCCATCCAGCCTATTCTTATGTGCTTTCCTGTTATTAAAGAAGTCGAGACGCTTTTCTTTCCAAGGTCTTTAGAATATGATGACCTAGATGACTGAGAACCTTCACAGACAGTACATCCATCCTTTTTCTTAACCACTTATCAAATCGAAGGTGACAAGGGGCTGAACCCAGTATTAATCTTATTTGTGTTACTAAATGGACTGCTCAAAAACACGAATTGACTACTATGAAAACGCGTCAGATCCCAATGGGGAAAAATCATAATGGCTATCTAATACTGATATGGACTGGAGTAATGAGATAGGAATGAAAGGCTGCCTCATTGTTTGAGGAAATGAAAATTATCTTAAGGGGCTTAATTCAAAGACACTTCAAAAATTAAAGTGAAAAAAAGATGCTACAGACTGGTCCATTTTGCCAAGGCCACCAGGGCACCAGTGTGGACCTGCCAATTCTGGTATTCGATGGCAACTGCCAATCAGGCACCACGGTGAGCATAGGGCCCAAGAGGACTTCAGGCTACCCTGATGAAGTCTGTTGTGGTTTGTTTAGAGACATTTACACCAGTGTCCTGCTGAAGATCATTTTGTAGCTCTGGCAGTGCTCATCCTGTCCCTCCTTGTGCAAAGGAGCAGATACCAGTCCTGCTGATGGTTTAAGGACTTCCTACAGCCCTGTCCAGCTCTCCCAGAGTAACTGCCTGTCTCCTGGAATCTCAAACCTTATGACAATGGCAAGTATTGATGTGCCATCCTGGAGGAGTCGGACTACCTATGTAACCTCTGTAGGGTCCAGGAATCATCAAGTGTAGTGACACTGACCCTTTCCAAATCCCAAAACAGTGAAAAAAAAATGAGATAAAAGGAGGGAAAAAGGCCATTCCTGTTTTGGGGGTTGTCTCATCATCGCCCTCCTGGTGCACCTGTTGTTAATTTCATTAACACTGACTAATAACCCCCTCTGCTACTTGACTGACCGGGTTAATATCCCAGTGGTTTAACGGACTTGATTCTATACTCTGATTAAAAAGTATTTCTTTAGCTTTTTGAGCAATGCATTCTTAACTTGTAAAAGTTGTTTCACTCTACCATCACACGTGACTGGGGAGAATTTACTTCTTTCCATGGATGTCAACATTTTGTCAGCATCATCATTTACCTCATCATTCTCTAGGATATTTCTCCCTTATGCATTTTTGTTTAAGCTTCAGAAGAGAGACAGTGCAATACAGTAGACCTGTCTGAGAGGTATCAACCTACACTCTCAGTTATCACGGTGCCATAAAGGAAATCCACTGCTCTCATCTGCATCAACACACTTTACAAATATTTTGGACAAAACCCTGTTACTTTAGTTTCTATCGCGTGTGGACCCTCATGTGTCTCTTCAGGGTTCCCTGTCGTGAAAATGTTACACCGCAGACATTACAGCCAAATGGTTTCTCTCCTGTGTGAACTGTCATGTGTGCTTTAAGGTGTGTCTTTCGCTTAAATTGTTTTCCGCAGTCATCACAACTAAACGGCTTTTCTCCTGTGTGGAGTCTAAGGTGTCTCTGCAGACATCCCTTTTGGCTAAATCTTTTACCACACTTATCACAACTAAATGGTTTCTCTCCTGTGTGGACTCTCATATGCGCTGTGAGATCACTATGTAGTCTAAACTTTTTATCACATCTACTGCAACCAAATGGTTTCTCTCCTGTGTGCACTGTCATATGTGCCTTCAGAATTCCCTGTTGGCTAAAACTTTTACCGCATTCATCACAGTGAAATGGTTTCTCTCCTGTGTGAATTGTCATGTGCGCCTTTAGAATTTTCTGATGGCTGAATCTTTTACCACAGTCGTCACAGGTAAATGGTTTCTCCCCAGTGTGAGCTGCCATGTGTATTTTGAGAGTGCATTGGTGTCTAAATCTTTTGCCACAATTATCACAACCAAAAGGTTTCTCTCCCGTGTGAATTCTCATGTGGATCTTAAGATGTGTTTTCTGGTTAAAGCGCTGTCCACAAAAATCACAACAGAAGGGTTTCTCTCCCGTGTGAATTCTCATGTGAGTGTTTAGATGTGTTTTTTGGTTGAACCTTTGTCCACAAACGTCACAGCCAAATGGTTTCTCTCCGGTGCGTACTGCCACTGATGAATCATCATTTTGTGATACTGTAAAGCATTTCTTTTTAGCCAAACCAGAGGAAGACATTCTTCCCCTCTCTCCCTGAAGTGACTGTTTGCAAAGAAAAGTTTTATTACATTCAGATACTTTAGAACTGTCTTGTCCTTTGTCACTATCTACACCTAATTCAGGTGTCCTGGTTTCCTTCCAGTCACTGTCACTGTCTTCAGTGTAAGGTCCAGAGTCTGATAAAGGCTCCTGCCAATAATAGTCATCATCATCATCCTTAATACTGACTTCAGTCTCAGATAAGCTGGAAGCCTTTTCATCACCATTTGGATGTACATAAATATCTTGATCTGGACTTCTAGCTGATTCCGGTCCTCCACAGTCATCACCATCAGTTTCCATTTTTATTCCTTTAGCTGGAGGGGCATTTAAAGCCTCTGCTTCTCTGTTGCATTTAGGTTTTCTTTGAGAAGTTTGTGAATACTCGGATTTCTCGTCACTGTCTTCATGTTTCACACTGACAGTATGGCCTGGAAACCTGGAGATATCCGCCACCTGCACCCCATTTAGCTGCTCTCCCACCTGACTGGTCCAGAGCTCCTCCTGCTCCTCTTTTATTTGGATGACCTCTGGGTCTTGCGGAGCTGAGGTGGGGCTCCATTCAGGGGGAACCTCTTTAATTGCCAACAGTTGTGAGATATCTGCATGGAAAAATAACACAGACATGAGCATTATGAACAAAAAACTACAGCTGCCAAGGGTGGAGATGCCAAACTGTGTTTCATTGTTCTGGTAACAGTGACAATAAAGATCTATCTATCTATACTAGTGGTAAGTAAAGTAAAATTGGTAAAAATGGTAGTGATAACGAAGTAAATGGAATGAAATTAATAACTAAAAAAACGTAGTTATAGTTATACAGTTAATAACCAAGTCACACAGGAAGCTCATGTGTGACTGTGACGGTACATGACTGATATCTGATTTGACACTACTACCAGAACCACAAAAGAATGTGGCTGTTTTCTAATTTTACAATCTATCTGGAAAAGAATAAGAAAAAATTATAGCTATACAGAAGAAGAATTGCTTACTTAGTGCTAGGCAATTCCACGTATGCTATGACACTTCTGATTTCACTACACAAGCAAACAGAAAAAAGAGAGTTTAACTGGTTTATCAGTGATAAAAAGAATAACTGCCCACTTGAAGCAATGAGAAGCACACTGAGAGGTGATCTGTATCAACCTCATACATTGGTCAAATCATATGATGCAGAAAAAAAATGCAATGAAATGATAATCATAATCCATTAATAACTTTTTCAGCATGGCAAAAATCCCACAAAGGCTGGTGAGGTGCAGACATTTTTAGCACTAATAATTGCAGATTCAAATGAGCTACATCCAAGAATAGTAAAGGGGGGTGGAGAATGAAAAAAAGAGAGCAGAGACTCTCAGCAGTTAACAATCTATTAAAGATCATTAGGATCCCACATGAGGAATTGGAAAGTGTGGCTAGGAAGAAGAATGTCTGCAATGCCCTGCAGTGTGTGAGCTGCTGATGTTTTACAGACTTTGCCTTGTTTTCAGGTGATTACCAATGTCTGTTTTGGTGTGGATTAATTTCTAAATAAAGGCCCATGCAAGAAGAAATAATTTGAATTATAATACTAGTACTACAATATACTGTGAAACCGCCAGGGTCCTAAAAGTGCAGTGGCACAACTTTTGGGTCACACCACCTAAAATTGAAAAAACAAAACAAAACAAAAAAACAGTCAGCAGAAAACAGGAAATAAAAACTGGATTTTGTTCTCAGTGTTCACTCTTGAATAATCCATCCACTCCAGCCTTCTCTCTCTCTGCCAGTTTTT